GAAAGAAAGAATTTCAAGTATCGCTCTTTCAGACATTAGTGCTGCTTATGTTTAATGAAGGAGATGAATTCAGTTTTGAAGAAATTAAAATGGCCACTGGTGTAGGTAGGAAGAATACTTCTTGATTCTTAAATTTATTCATGAAGTGATTGCCAATTATGATTTGGTATGTAAAGATCTAATTTTAAGAAATTTGCCTTGATCATTAGGACAAACTTTATGAGCCAATAGTGCGCAGACACCAAAAATGATGAGGAAAACACACTGCTGGTACTTCCTAGTGTAGATAAAATAGATGCTTCACAAAATCAATAGTAAGAGTTGTGTAGCAGATAGTACTACTAACAACCTATTTGATTTACAAAATGTATTACTGAGTTCTGAAAATCCAAGTGGGGATAAAGACTGTTGTGTGTGCAGATTATTTTTGTTCTGTTACAGTTTCAAATACTATATTCTGAAAGTGATCTGTTGTAGAATGCTGTCATTTCAGAGTGATTCAAGTGAGTATTTTCAGCTAAACTGTTCTGAGAACTTGCCCACCTCTTTTTCATTACTGTTGCTGGAATACCCCATTTACAATAGGTCTGATTTGTTAAGAGCAGCAGTGTGCTCTAGGGTGTGTACTTCATAGCTGTCTCACTCTGCACTTGAAACCTGGATGCAGAAAGGACAAAGGCAACCAAGGAAAAGTATAGTTTTCTTTTTAACCATCTGCAGCATCTGCCTCCTGTGTTCTTGTGCTCTTGGGTGATTTATTTCCAGATTTTTACACTTCCTTGAAATAGTTACAACCATTGGCATTAAAAATGACAGCGCTATCATCTCTCTACTCTGTGGAGCTCCTGTGTCAACCAGCAGGTCATACACAGTAGCGTATTCACATGTTGAATCTTAAGATCAACCTGATACAGCAACTGCTGAAAGAGTATTTGAACCCACACAAGCCCTGAAATATTGTAAATATAGTAACTAAAATACTGCAAAATTGGAGTATCAAGAATCCCTGTGGTTCAGAATGAGCCTGGGTGCTCCAGCTTCTCAGCATCAGTGCTTCAAGTTGCTTAGTCATCCACTCCATTAATGCTGAGGGAGCTGAAGAAAACTCAGGCCAGTGCAAATGATAAGCATCGGGATAGTCCAGAGAGGTTCATTAGGTCAGAGTACAATGGTTACAGAACAAACATAAGTTCACACAAGCCTGCTCCAGATCCTGCTTTCTCATCTTGTATTGCTGTACCTCGGAGCTTGCATTCTGGCTGCCTGACAGCAACGATAAAATCTGCTGCGTGGAAATCCATTCCATTATAGCCCACTAGAAGGGATTTAGATAGACTGTTTTTAAGGCAGCTGGCTAGAATTTATAGTTGGCAGGTTACCTACATTATGTTTTATCATTGCACCGAGTGCCATGGCTGTGTTTCTCTCCCCTGTGGGGAAGTAGTGTAAGAATGCAGGCAACGAGGACAGCTCATGGTCCACAGAGTTCCTGTGGTGCCAGGATGGATGACATAAAATCTGTCTTCCCAGGCTCTACCTACAGAAGTCGCTGCTTTAGAGAGGTCCCATTCCCGCCTAGCAGTCTCTTCTAAAGAAGAGGAAACTCTTATGGCTAGAAATTATGTCAGAAATAGGTCCCACACTGCACCTTTCCTGTCTCCTGCTGCTTGGATGGTCCTTTCACTCAGTGGTACCCTGCTGAAGGCTGCTATCTTGGCTACTTGGAAAAGAACAATGATTGAGTTATTAGAAAAAGTAGCTGAATTTGTAATGCAGCTGCTTGGTGAATTAACCTCTAAGGGCAGAGGTGCTGACAGCCAGACTCTTGGAGACTGCCTTGGATGACTCAGAGGTCCTGGTTCATGGGTACAAATAACAAGACATAGTAGAAATTCTGGAGGGCAAAATCTGGGCATTAGGGTTGCCATAGAAACTGTTTCTAAATGTTCTAAACACCATGTGCAGACAGGCAGAATTGCAATGTATGCTTGAAAAAATAGTGTATGGAAGAGGGTCTGGATTTACTGGGAAATAGGAAAGCCTTTGAAACAGGGGAACCTGTACAAGAAGGGTAGGCTCTCTCTGAATTCAAAGAGAATGACATTGCTGGCATGTTGTAAAAGCTGGAAGTTTACAGAATTCAAGGGGATAGGTTCAGGGAAGAGCAAAGCACTGAAGGTATCTCAACACATAGAAACCACCTCTGGCTTAGAAAGTCCCTAAGCCCAAAGTGATTGGAGACTTAGAGAGCAACAGCATGAGGAGAGGAGGAAAAGCAGGAAAGTGTGCAGCTGTATCAGTTTCACTCTTACATGCTGCCCTGTGCTCACCTGCTCGTGGCCAGTGCTGAACCAGATGGACCTTCTGACCCAGGGTGCTTCAGTTTGAAACTAGACACTGAAAGGAATACTGAACCTCCCAACTCTGCGGAGTTGCATCTGACCACTTCCTTTACTCTGGTGTTCACGTGTGCCAGCTCTTTCTGGGAGCTGGTGAAAAGTTCATCAGGCAAACAGCCTGCTGGTAACTTCTGGGGAAGTTACTGAGCAAAAGCAGAAAGCATCATCATGCTGTGTGTGTGCTTGTGTTTGGATACTTCATATATTTCAGTTTAGGTACCACATGAGTAACTACCACATTACTGGGGAAAAAAAAATTCAAAAATCCACCCCAACCAAACAAAAAACAAACCATCACATGGATTTCTGTCCCTTTAGGACACCACTGTCTTCATCTGCATTAACCAGCATAATTGGAGCTTGTGTTTTACAGTCACTGTTACAATAAATCACCACCAGTCTCTTTAAAAAGATGTTGTCGTCCCTGGTACATTACTGCAGTTGGCAAATACATAAACTGTCACTCAAAGAATGGTTACCTCTTCTTTGGTAACTGTGCTGCTTTGAGATGCAGTGTCCCCATACAGTCCATGTTTTTACCTGTCTTTCTATTATCAAGAAAGCCTCTTTGCGGCTTTGCATGCGGTGCAGAAGCAAAGCTCCAAAGTATACCGAGTGTTTTTAACAGCATCCTTTTGGGACAAAAACAGAACTTGACAATCTGCATTTACTGAAGGTTTAATATCATGAATGCCTTTTTAGTCAATGTGGTTTAAAGGGTTTTTTTAGTAATTATAGAATAGCTGGAAGTTTGAAAAAAGGAACAGGTCACTCTGTATGAAAGTTTATTATTATTTCTAAAATACTTTGTGTTAATCTTTTACTCGGCTGTACTGCACTTCAGCACTAGATTGCAAAGTCTTTCTTTCAATTTTTAGACTAAAACTCTGTTCAGGAGATCATTTGGTGATAATTTTATATTGTGAATAAAAGTATTCTAGAGACTGCAGGGGCTATTTTAATGCAAAATCTTGATGCAAGACCTTGCAACATAATTATTAGAATGTTTTAGACTTAATTTTATCTACTTGTCCAAATGCTTTTAGCTTTAAAACTTAGTAGATAAAATTTTCCTCACCCACTTGTTTCCACTCCTTTCTTCTTGTGGGGGAAGTTTGTGACTGCAATAGCTGTTGCTCTGCCTTCTCATAAAACATCTTCTATCAACATAGACTTTCTTTATTATATATTTTCTGGTGTGTGTTAAAAATAGTGATGAAATCATAAAATGGGTGGCTTGAGTTTCTTGTCATCAACTGATTTTTTTTTTTTTCTTCTAACATCCTGTTAAGTACCAAACAAAACAAAAGCAATAAAACCAGGCTCATGTTAATGTGAAATCTGTTCTGAAACTGCTTCTGGATGGCAAGCTCACTGAGGTGAGCCTGAGTCTGTCTTCCTGAGCTGTACAATTCGGTGCATGCTCTCAGCACTTACGTGTGAAAGATGCGAGACCAAGCTCAAAGGCTGTGAGTTGTTACCTAATTGGAACTTTGCTGGAAGAAGGCATTAACATAAAACCAGTAACTTGACAATTGTATTTCTAGATTAATCACATTAAACTCTTCATGTTCATGGAGTTTTTTTCTGCTTTCTCCCATACTTCTTCACAGAGGACAGTGAATTAAGAAGAACCTTGCAGTCTTTAGCTTGTGGAAAAGCACGAGTATTGATTAAAAATCCAAAGGGCAAGGATGTGGAAGATGGAGATAAATTCATCTTTAATGGTGATTTCAAGCATAAATTGTTTAGAATAAAGATCAACCAAATCCAAATGAAAGAAACAGTATGTATTTTTTTTCATTCATTCTGTTAATGTTAACTGTTTATTCACGTATGGAGAGCCAGAATCTCTGCATTTCCTCTCATAGTTTTTGCATATGGAGAAAAGAAACAGTTTGGGCGTTTTTTTGGTAGTCAGGATGACTTGCAGAGGCAATGAAGATTTTTAAAACTTATTCAAATCAAAACAACTTAGGTTTTTTCCTGTGCTTGCAAATTTAAAAGCCTGTCTATTAAACTGATAGGATCTTGTAGATGTTTCAGTCCATCTTAGGAGTTTTCATGGTATGGCTGAAATCAAATGTCACCATGTCACTTGTAGAGGCCTGGGCTATAGAAGCACTGTAACTGCAAATCTGTGTGAGAAAGTGTGACAGGAGGCATACAGCCGTGAGATGGGAACGACCTTGAGCGCTTAAGAATAGAAACTTGGCAGAGGAGCGAAGAAGATAATGAAGACACTGAACACAGAAAAATAGACTAGAGACGGAGAACTTTTAACCAATCATATATTAACTTAGCCGGGGTGGGTAACGCGCGCAGCCTATTAGGAGTCAGATAGATGTAAACATAGAATGCTAGAAATGTATAAAAAGCTTGCTTTGTGTGTAATAAAATGGCTACCAGAGCATCATATTGGTGTGCTGTAGTCCATTTCTTGCATGGACCCCAACAGTCACTTTTTTATTTAGTGGGTAATTAAAGTCAAGGTTCTCCCTGTTTTTGCAGTGGGTGTCTTTCTTGTACTTGAATCCAAATTCTTGACAGAAGGTGACATGTTTTAATTAACATTGAGTTGTTTCCTTTTTGCCTTTGCATCTTGAAATGCTTAAAAGTCAAATTAGAGTTGAGCCATTTGATAGAGAAGACTACTGTATTTGAGCTGTCAAACTGTTGCGTGTTCTCTCAATCTGAAGTGAGTTTTTAAGATTTAGTTTTGTTTATCAAATAGATGTAACATAAGGTGTACATTATTTTTTCTTTACATTATCCTTAGTTTTATCTTTGGTTTGCTTTAGCAGTACACTTTAGAATCACTTACTTCTTAGCATGCAGTAATGCATGCATCTGTCTCAAAGATGAATAAGAGTACATGAGTTTCATTTCGTTGGAAAGGTTACTCTAGAAATACAATTGATAAAAACAATAGAAAAAAGGTGATATTATTTGTGATGTTGTATTGTTCTTTAGGTCGAGGAACAGGTCAGCACAACTGAAAGAGTATTTCAAGACAGGCAATATCAGATTGATGCTGCTATTGTACGAATAATGAAGATGAGAAAGACTCTTGGTCATAATCTCCTTGTTTCTGAATTGTATAATCAACTGAAATTTCCTGTTAAGGTAACTGATTTTGTTTTTCAAAGCATCCTAGGATCATCTAAAAATATTTAATATATTTTTCCATTCAGCTTGTCCATGAGAGTAAGAAATGTGAAATAAGTTTGAATCAAATCCAAAGATATTAAAATGAGTGTGTGAACAGAAGTAAGCTAGAGTATCAGTAGGAAATTATATATTTACTATGTCACATTTTCTTATGTAGCTGTTAGCAGTCTTATTTTTTTAAATGTAAAATAAATGCAACTACATTCTAAACTGTTCTACTAAACTCATCTTTTCTTGTAGCCTGGAGACTTGAAAAAGAGGATTGAATCCCTCATTGACAGAGACTATATGGAGAGAGACAAAGACAACCCCAATCAGTACCACTATGTTGCATAATGGAGAGGAGATACTTTTACTTAAAAAAATAAAATTAAAAAACAAACCTAAAAAAATAAAAACCAAAATCATCCACATATATCTTCAGGACACCGAATACTTATGCTGTTCCAGACTTTCCTTTTAGCAGATTTCAAGTTGGTGTATATTATTCAACCAGCTGCATGCACTGCTGTGGAAGAGAAAATGACATGTTAATTGATCATCCGTGTCAAGACTCCTTACAAATTTTAAATGTCGTATTTTTATTTCTTTTAGTTGCTCTCTTGTTCTTCTGGGTTCTTAAAAATTTAGTTTTACAGTTTTGTTTAACACTGTCATTGAAGTTGGATGGAAAGGTAAAATTTCCTGTGTGAGAAATATTTCTGTGATGGATGCATGTCTTGTTTCTTCATTTATGTGTTCCTAACTGCATCCATAAAGACCCTATATGCTGCATTCTTTAGCTACAGTGACAACTTGGGTAACTTTTTAAAAATGCTTAATTGATGAACACTTATGTACAAGCAGTGTTGTTGAAATACACTGAATTTTTGAAATTATGCACCATGAAAACCCTTAAACTTGCGTTCAGTTAATTTTCTTTCAAATTATTATAAACTTCAGTCTGGTTTGGATAAATCAGGTTTTGAAGTGAGATCTTTGAAGTGCCAAGAGGACAACTGTGTTCCTGTGTGTAGTGAGTTCTTGGATTACTTAGCTAAAACATGGATTATTATTTTATTACTACTTCTGCTGGCTTGGGTGGCAAAGATTAGATCTAAGTCAAAGAGGCCCTACCTCATTTTAGGGCAAGTGGTGTTTATCACTGTCTATGTAATTGCAGTAACACTTAGTTTGGCCTTTAAAATAACATCCAGGGAACCTACTGTACAGTGTGCTCCACTTTAAAAAAGCAAAACCTTTTTTTTAAAAATACTTTTATGGTCTCGATATTGTGAAAGCATAGTTTTTTGTCTTGAAAGACTAAGTATTTTGCAAGTATTTTGTCACATACTGTATATATGTAAGTTGATTTGAATTAAAGAGTGAAAGACACTGTAGAGCTGTTAGACAGTTGTAACTATAAGGAGGACATCTTTTGTGGCAATACTTACAAGACTGTTTATTTTCCGGATTTGCATACTGGTGTGTTGCATTCTGAAAAAGAGCTACCAAAGGAGTTTCGGACATGGCATAAATAAGAATTTAACTGAGCAATATTTTCTTGAGAGATACCTTACTGAGTTTATGTAACATGGATTTGGTGCATCAGTTAAAAGGCCACCGCCTCTTCTTAAAGTAAACATTGCTAAGAGTTGACATCTTGTGGATTTACACGTTGAAGTCCTTGTTCTGTCATCTGGTGTCATTAATTGTATTGCATTCTTCTGAATTATTTTCGTTCCCTTTGTGTTTTGAAACTCAACATGTTTAGTTTTATTGTATTTAAAACATATTTAATATTGTAATTTAATGTAGACCTATTTTAATATTTGAATCTTCAGTTAATGCAAATAAAATCTTTGATGCATATTAAATATTAATTTCTTAGACTTTGTGAGAATGTGGCACTTCAGTTTATTTGTGTGGTTTGTTCTTTAGTGTTAATTATACCATTCACCTTATAATTCATTTTCTATGCATATGGAAGCCGATCAGATCCATCTTACTAGACTTTTAAACAGAAAGGAGTGTGTGCCTCACAGAAATGTCATGGCCAGAGGCTTTTTCCACAAAGCTGGCAGCAGAATGCAGTAACTGGTATCAAGCCATGAATGTGTCTCGCCTTCCCTCTCTGAACCCCAACTTCCTGGTTCAGTGGCTTTAAACAATAGATTAAAAGCAGTGGTTTTATCCTGAATGTAACTGAAATGGTTCTGCTGTATGGAGTAATGTTAATTGATTCAAAGTGCTGATATGTGTGTTTTTTCTGAATTGCCATAGACTAGAACTCTTTGGCCAAATGACTATGGTATAGCAATTAAAAATTAGTTGTTCCACAACCAGTGGAAATAATGAGGCTTCTTTCTCTGATGTATGCCTTTGTCCCTTACTGTATAATCCTACCAGGTAACCTCAAGCAGCAGTAATGCAGAGGGTTTTTCTGTTTAGAAAAACAGAAGCAGCCTTTCTGCTTGCAGGAGCATTGGTTTTGTTCTCCTTTATCCAGCTGCTGATCTCCAACCATCCCCTTACCTCCCAAACCTACAAAAAATATAACAATCTCTAAAAATTCTTACTCTTCCAAATAGGTCTCAAAGTGTTCAGAGGATCAAAATCTATGGGAGAAATTGACAGGCCATGTGATCATGACTTTCTTTTTCAGGTTCTCATTTTTAATTTTATTTCCTCAAATTTCTCTTGCTGGGGTTTTGCATGTGCTGAACCAGACAGGTAAGCAGTTAGTTTATTAGTCAGCATGGTAATCACTTCTTCATAGCAAAATAGCTGCATTTGATTGCTTTTTGATAGTTGGTGATAGAATTTGGCAGAGCATTCAGTCTCATCCAGTTGCTGGTTTAATGCCAGCTATTTGGTTCACATTGCCCTCTGAATGGATTTGTGCCCACAGGGCAGAGGTTGCTAAACATTTCTTCCTGGAAGGTCACCAAGTGTTGAAGAAAAGTAGCAGATTTCCCCCATAGCACATCCATGTTTAGAAGATGTCTTGAAAACCTGGGTCTTGGCAGTTCAGTGGCCTTGGAACAAATTGTGTAGAAGCTTCTATGAACTGACAAAAATAACAGCAGGGAATCTGGGATATGGGTTGGGGCTCTCCAATCTTACCAAAACCTTCCAATTTAACTTAGTTCTACTTAAACATTCAGATAATTCATGCAGATGTACGTTATGTGTATTTAAAAAGCAGTTTTCCTAAAAGTGACGTCCTGTCACTTAGCCCAATATCTCCTGAGGGAAAGTGAGTGTGAGAATGCAGGCTGCTGGCTGCCTTGCAGGTGCTCCCCAAGTCACCGTTACAGCTATCCTGCCTGCCCCCTCCTTTTGTCCTGTCATCTTAGTTCTATATTTTAGCTTCCCCTCTATTCCTTTGTCTGAACCTGGATTTATTATTTAACTCCCTTGGTCTGCTGCATCTTCTTTCTTCCTTTCTTTTTGCTGTACCTCTGAAAAAAAAAATACCTTATTACAAGCAGCTTCGGTGCTTTGATTTGTTACGCCGGTGGACCTGTTTGTGAGTTTATGATCTTTGGCTGGTGTGCTAGGGAGAGTGGACTCTGTACTATAACCTTGGTTATCTGTTCCTAGCCAAAGTCTCTTCAGAAAGAAAATAATGCAGTAAGGTCAGATAATGCACAGCAAAAAGCTACAGGAAAAATTGGGTCATGTTGCATGCACGTTGTCTTTCCTGGTAAAAATGCCCATCCTGTACTCTGTCGTCCATGCTGGTACTTGGTCTCGACTTTGCAGAACAGTTTGCATTGTAGTAACAGCTCCTAGATCTTGTGGCTGTTTCCCATGTACTTCCTCATAAACAGCCATTCTCCACTCATGCCCAGGAGGTGTACCACGGTTAACGTGGACCTGTGTGTGGGTTGGTTGGACAGCAGCTCTGTCAAACAAAATGCACATAGGCTGGGTATGGACTACATTTCCTTCGGCGATGGCACTAATTTGGATCTCTGAACTGTATATACCAGCTTTTACAGAAGCTCCAACTCTTTGTTTATATCTTGAACAAACATAAACTGCTGTCAAGTTTGATTGATGTTGGCCAATAAGTTATTGAGTAGTGAGGCTGATGGCCAGCATGGTTGTGTAAGAGTTGCTTCATCAGTAAGCTAATGATCCACACCATGTAAAACCAACATCAATCTCTGCTGATAGACTTACGTTCTTTACTTACCAATTTCTCACCACAATACTGTTGCTTGATGGAACTTGTGTAATTACATTAATTGGTAGCAATCCAAGCATCTGGCATTTTTCAATTTATAGACACCAGTTTTGCAGTAGAGGGGCAGACTACTGCACAGCAAGCTTAAACCTGACACTGTGCCTCCCCCTCTATTTTGGCTTCTGGCAGACTTCAGGTGTTGCACAGACCTTCCTCCACTCCTGATGCAGTTTCCAAAAACAGTGACCAAATGATGAGAACAGCCAATGTCCCATTTCTAGTAACCTCAACTCCTCTGCAGATGAATCATTCAAACACTTGACCAGAGCTGTTCCTTATGTTCTTTTTCAAGCTAACTAACTTCTGCTTTTGGCAATATGTGGCAAGACTAAAGATTGCTAGAAGTGCTGCAGGAAAAAGCAATCAAACTAAAATAAAACAAAATGTTTCTGTCTCTAAAAATGCACAGATAAAAATGCAGCATTAAGAAAGAAATTACTATTTATAGCAATAGCACAGAAAAAGAAAGGCAGATCCCCAAGCCACTTTGAAGAGCAAATGAACTTCTCTAGGAAGTTTTGGGGAAATAGGAAGTGTAAGTGAACCGAGACAAACATCAGGGAAAGGTCATCAAGTATAGAGTAGCTGGACTTGACTTTGGCAGCTGGTGGTGGCCAAATTGCATTTCAAATTGGTTCTAAGTAAAAATGTATGAAGGCGGCTTGGGAGCATAAATGATTCTGCCTCAGAGCTGATTCATCTGGAGTGCACTGCAACAAGGAGAGGGATGACACGGCACTCATTTTGAGAAAGCAGAAGCACTCCACTATTGGCACACTTTCCAATAGCACCAGAAATAGGATTTCATTAGCAAAATAAGTACTTCTGATGTTTCAGACGAAGAAAGTATATCCTTTACAGTTTAGATAAGAGCTTTGAATTACAAAGTGATCAAATGGCCTGAGCCCCATATCTCTGTTACTATGCTAACATCTGATAATTTTAACAGACAAACTTCACCTCTTTTTTTCTAGTTTCCTCAAAAAAATGGGGATTTCTTAAACCTCTTGTTTATTAAAACATCAGACAACATCAGAAACTATGTGAAAGTGCAATTAATTTTACCCATGCAACCAGAAGTCATTAGCAGTCCCTGTTTTGG